CAATGAAGAACTTCACGCAGCAATGAACTGTAGATCATGAAACCAAATCATACAACCGAGTCCAACCACAATACATTGTAACCACATAGAAGAAACGAGATGCTTGGAGAAAAATGAGTCCTGTATCCTACTCTAACACCACTGAATCATCTAATAGTCTTGGCATGGTTCCTACGATTGCATCCATCAGAAGAGCAGAAAGCTTGAAAGAACATCAAGAGCAAGATCAATACAACAACTAGAAATGTCAGGAACTGCCATGAACCAAAACACACAAAGCTTTATAAGTCTCCAAGTTTCAACCCCTCATCCTACCAATATAGTACTTGTTCGCATCTTCAATGATCTTATCCAAGAATGGTACTTTTGTCAATTTAATGGACATGATTGTCCCATTCCACAGGTTAGCCACTTGTTCATCATTGTTCAAATTTTTAAAACAATCCCTTTTTCTCTCAGAATCTTTGCATCTTCCTCAAAATCTATAATCCCATTCACCAATTCTATGCATCTTGTGAAAACAAGTGGCCTGCCACTGCATTGTAATTGATGTTTCATAAGCAACCAAGTTTCTAATCAATACTTGACTGTTGATGCCTGTGGCTATTGTGGGAAGTTGAAGTGTGGCTGCTTCTTTATCAAATCTGATGCTACGAATTGCTCCATTATTAGTGGGTGAGAAACAGATTCCAGTTTGAGAGTTCTGTAACATAAGGGATAGCAATTTTCTCCATCAAGGGTGGCTTCTTGAGATCAACAATTTCTGTTTCGATTGCTTGTTCTCTTGTGAGAAAAACAGGTATTCCAAAGGGTGTTTTATAATCCCAACCACCGAAAGGTTACAAATGATTGTCAAAGGCATACAAATGATGATCTTCATTGGCTTGTATAACAATACCTAAAACAATAACCTACATAATAATACTTTGAATTATAAGTATCAAGTCATTGATCATACATGTTTGTTATACAAAATGACATTAAATTCATAGTTCATAGAGAGCATCTCAGAAAGGGGAAAAACACAGCTAGGTCACCAAACAATTCCAAGAGGACACGTAGCATGATACTATATTTTAACTCAAAACTTTAAGGCATTGAGCTTATAGATCTTTTCCACATATCTATCTCTTTTTCAACCCAATTCTATCTAATGTGGGACTTTTCCATACACAAACCAAGTTAACTCACACTTAACATCCCGACACATAAATAATTCAAGTGTAAGTGAATCCTAAACAAGAGATGGTATATTTTTACAGGAGCCAAAAGATATCACAACTAGAAATTTGATGACATAAGTTGATACACCTATATCGATTATTTACCTAAAAAAGAAGTTGAACAATACCTTCTGAATGAAGCTTACTGATGATTTGGTCACTGTTGATGCCATCCTCCAAATTTCACTCAGGGCTTGCTTAACATATCTCACAAATTTTTTCATTACCTTCCATGTCTTTGTTGGTTGTGTTGTAGTAACTGTATGTGTGTGTGTGTCAAAAAAGTCTGACATTACCAAAATGAAGAGTGCTTCTAATATATCAATATTGAGAAATGAAATGGGCTAGTAAAATAGGCTTGGAGGAAAATTAGGCTTGCGCGTATAAACAAGTCAAATCAGGTTAATTGAAAACAACCAATTTGCACCCCCCTGCGCATGAGCTCAATAGACACTGGGTTTCTTTTTACTAGATTATTTTTGCAAAAAGTAAATAATTATTTATTCACATGAGCTTATTAGAAGACCTTGATATTTAACTATTTGAAATTTGAATTCAACCTTAAATGTTTTTTGGCCTTTAAACATATTCTTAAATGGATTTACATTAATCAAATCCATTATGTTGTTGTCCCCAAACGGCTCTAGGAGTAATGCATGCGTGCATAACCGAGCATTTAAGCTATTTTATGATTGTGTAACTAAGGCTTAATGTGTTTAATTTGGTGATTATGAGCCCAATGTTTATGTAGATCTTCAGCCTATATATAGTTATGGGTGTAGACAGAATGGTGTGCCTGCCTCTTGAGCTTTTGAGGTTTTCTTTCCTCCTCTATTGTGTACTTTTTTTCATCTGAGTTTGCTGGTGTTTGCTGTTTTGTGTGCCTTATGTTCTTATAGGATGTGCTTGTTTAATCTAGAGAATTGATGGTCTGCCATAATAGTTTTTAAAGATAGTGTTCTTCAGCATGACTCAAGTAGCTTGTGATTTACCTATATATTGCCAACAAGTTGTTCTTCCAATTTGGGTACAATCATGTTATACAAGAAATCTAGCAAATGCGCACATTGTGAGACTTGGATCTTTGAATAATAATTTTCTTTAGTTGTCTCAAAAAGTGAAATTTCTTTAAACAACCCTATCAATAAAGCAAGAAGCATATCATCTGCTAATGATTCTTCTGTTGATGATGACGATGATTTGAATTCTAAAACTTTTCTCAAACAAATAATAATGGGATCTGATTCTCAAACATTAGCATGCTCTTAGGGTTGATCATTTTGACTTGATTTTCTCCCACCACCATAATCGATCATTCTTCCTTGTTGAAGAAAATCAAGCAAGAAGGAGGCATCAATAATCATCACCACACTAAGGTTTCGCTACTGAAATTTAAGTACTTGTGGTAGCATGCTCTAATCCTGTGTTCATATTTTCTCAATTGGTCAACAGATGTTCTAAGTTGAGGCTAACAATGTGATCTAGTATTATATCAGAAAAGGGTGAATCGGTCCATTCAATTGAACTTGAAACGATTTAAAATTGCTTCTACAAAAAATCAATTACTTTTAGAACTGCTAAAAAAATTTACAAATGATTAATTAGTTTGTTCGGTTTACCCCTTATTTTTTAGTTATTAGTGAAAAATGGCATCATTTTGGTATTATTATTTTTTTCTTATAAAATTCCAATACTTTATCAGAATCATTCTCGTACATAATTATTAATTATTAATAACTATAAATTTGAAAAATGAGTATCATGACAATTTATTATTGGTGTCCTATTTTGATTTCAATTTGTGATTATAAATATAATAACGAGATTAGATTTAAAGATTCAGTTATGCAAAGTGGTAGTTTTGTTATTTTCCTATTGTTATTAAAATCTTATTATATTAATTTTGATCAGTTTGACCAAAATCGAACAAATGAACCTTGAATCAGGTCCTAGACTGATTTAAATGGCATTCTTTTTTGTTTTTTGCCAGAAATTTAAATGGGCCATTCAATTTTAAAAATATTATAATAATCCTGCTGGATTCCTTCTAAAAGCAATTTAGATATGGTTAGGGAATAATTTTGTAAATGGCAGCGTAACAAGGGGGTAAAACACTCCACTACTATGTAGAAAACTACTTAATGGACAAAGTAGTGACCAGGTATTTTCGAAAGATTAACGTGAAAAGTTAAATTTCCTAAGAATAGAAATGCTTATTATTCACTGAAGATCTATGAGAAAAATACATAAAACCTTTTTAGGGATGTAAGAATCTGGATCACCAGTCATAAGGGGCTTGGGAACAGTGAAGATAGACACAAGGAATTCGCCATTATCTTCCTCTTCAAGCTCTTCTTCTAGGGTTTGACGGATGTGAATCACCCATCTAAGCTCATCAATGTCGGATTTGTTGAAGTCATACGAGATGGTTCGTCTGAACAATGACATGAATGAATAATAATTCAAGTTTTTGCAATGGTTTCTCTTGTTTGTCTTGATAGAGATATTTAGTGAAGAGGGTTAACTAAGAGGATGAAGCTTAATTTTATTATCACAGAAACGTAGTGATTTGGAAACTCCTAATGAAATAATCAGAATATGAGTTTATTTTGAAAATTAATGCCCATTAATTATAGGTTTCTTTATAATAATCAAATATGAGTTTATTTGAAAGTTAATGCCCATTAATTCTAGTTTCTTTATAATATTTATGTTAACCAACAACTTAGGTTTCAATTTACCTCCATCTAATTGAGAAATTCTTGCATGAATTGGTGCACTGCTCGTTCATACTCTATTTAATAAAAACATGTCATATTAAATAATTGTAAATATAAATTGATTATGCCATTGATAATAATAGATAGAAGAAAAAACAAAAGAAATAGTATATTCTAAAACTAAAATTATAAAATATGACACATAAGATTTTATTTAACAAACATGTTACAATTTTATTAGAAAGAGCATAAATGACATGGCACGGTCCATGCAAAAAAATTTCCATTCAATTTTATTTTATTTCACACATTTAATCTTTAACGTTTTCATGTAATTTGTTCCCTACTGGGAAGAGGAATATGAGGGAAAAGGGCATTCATTAGATGGAAATCAAATTTTCAACTACTTGCATAAAAAATGAAAATCCATGCTAATATAAGTTGATTGTATATTTCATTATCGATAAAAGAAAGCAGTTTATGGATTAGTGTAAATTTCTTCAAATTAAACTCTACGAAAAATCTATTATAGAATACAAAAATTAGGACATGAAAGCATTTTTTTAAAAAAATTTATCTAATTTTTGGATTGTGTTTCTTTGCAAAGAGATGGATTGATGTTGATTTTCTTTTGGTTAACTGTTAACCAATTGTTGCATGACTCATAAATTGTTAGAAATGATATTCACACAGCATTTGCAACTCCAAAAGACAATTGAGTTCATAATTTCATCATTGCAATAACAAGTTCCATCTTTCTCCTATGTTTTAAGACTAAACGATTTAATTCATCAGAGACGACAACACCAAATTTACATGAAAACATTTCCCCTTTATTTGGGTGGATAGGAAGGGGAAAAAAACTAGAAAAGACAATGTCTAAAAGTAATAAAAAATTTTTAAAAATTTATCTTCATAGTTTTTTTCCTCTCTATTTTCTTCATTACTGAAGAAATTCCCCGCTGTAAATAATGCATCAAGGGGTTTATACGATTATGGTTTTTCAACCTTGCCCACTTATTCAGTAAATACTCTCTTCAAAGCAATAGACATTAAGTGAGCAGAAAGAATTTATGTTTGAATTGAACGTGCCGACCATTTTGACAGAATCTAGTTCAGTAAAAATATTCTTACAACCCAAACTTTCAGATATAAAATAACATCAAAATTGGAATGAAGGAGCCATTACAAGACAATACAAAGTCTATATACACAAAGGATTAGATTTATATCTCCAATAGGGTTGTGGTTTGAAAAATGAAGTGAGCAAGATTTTTCACATGACTCTTCATCAATGAAGAATATTACCGTCAAATTTGATACTCCTTGTTGCGAAGATATCCACCATTTCCAATCAGATCCAAGCATGCCCAAAAAGGAACCAAGCATCTGCTAATGTCATGCCATCCATTGAACAAGTTTATCCAAAATATGTATATGGCCACCTGCTATCTCTTCCGAGAATGCTTACTTTTTTAGCTACCAAGAGGAAGCTTGTTCCCTTCATCAACAGAGGTGAACTCACCAGTTACCCTGCCCAAAAAAAGATCAATTAGCACCAGTGGTAGATACTTCCAACAATCTGATGGAGAATTGGTAGTAAGGGATACCAAATCCTACATTAAGTAATATGTGATACTTAATAAGGTATTTAAATGAGTTGGTTCTTTCACCTCAACAGTTAATTTTTGAGGTAAGATTCCCTATCCTGATTAAGCATCCATTAATTGGTATCAGAGCTAGGTTACCCATGAAAGGTTCTAACTGACAAGAGGCTAAGTTAAGTGTTGTGGAGTGTAACCGTAGAGACATTGGTGTTTCATGGGGGGCCAACTGATGGAGACTTGATAGTATGAGATACCAAATCCCACATTGAGTAGTATAGGATACTTAATAGGGTACTTAATTGGTTATTCTATCTCAATAGCTAGCTTTTAGAGTCAGGTTCCCCATCCCATTCAAGCACCCATCACAAATTTAACTAGAGAAATGGAATTCTTTTTGCCTTGATAAAAACAGGATATTGAACCTCTCTGTTTTTTAGATCCGAATCTGTTTTTAGAACATTTGTACTCTTCTCATTTTTTCCCCTCTTCTTGCCTAGATCATAGGGATTTGAATTGCAGACTGGCTGCAATCAATCCTCCATATATGTCAAACTTGTCTGAATAATGTAAATGAAACCAATCCTCCATTCTTTTTCAAGAACAGAAATTCAATGGCGGCTTGAGCCTCTAACAATCAAAATTCAAATTAAGACAGCGCTCTCAAAGGACATAATAATGTACTCCTTGCTGGCATAAGCCTTAACTGGTTAAATTTTACTTAATCATGAGAATTTATGAAAGCACAATAAACAGAGATGTAGGAGTCCAAATACCCATTATACAACAAAGTGGCATCGCCTATTGTCCCTGCAACCTTATTCCGTACCTTACGAACACAAACCTAAAGCAAAGCATATAACAGATATATATATGTATATATATTTAGTATAAATAATAAATAATCACTCAATGCATCCACAGTCATATTGCAAATACACACCTGTACTTGATCCATAGGCCCAGCTTCTGGATCTCGATTTCGATGAATAACAATTCCATTGTCGCATTTATTTATGAAGTGTGCACTTCCACTTATATCATAGAGATTAGGAGGTCCCCCAACCCAATTTTGTAACTGGTATTTTTATTATGCAACTAACTGTTAGACCATTAGATATATCAGAAAAAGGAAAGAGGGAATGGCCGAGATTACAGCCTTTTGTTACCAACCTGTCTAGGATGTGCTACAAACCAAACATGGCATCCGTGATGCTGGGCAAACCGTTTGATTTTGGTAAGCATCTGACTAACATATTCAGTTTCAGTCCTGAAACAAATAAATAAACATCATTAGCAATGCTGCTAATGTTTGAACAAAGTATAGGGTGGAAAGAACAAAAATAATCAACATGCTAGGGGAGACAATATAAGGTCCGTTTGGTTGCTAGAAATTATGGCATGGATTAAAAAAAAATAAACCAAAAATGAACAAAATCACCATCCCTCTTATAATAAGCAAGATAAAATCCAACATCACACCTTCCACAAATCTCATCAATCATAACTCCCAACCTCATGAACTATATTACTCTTTCCCATCATGAACATAGTTGACCTATCTCCCATCCATATTTTGATCATTTTATTTTTACCTTTATTTTTTAATTCATTCTATTCCCATTCTTTCCAGCAACCAAACAAGTCCTAAGTATATATCATAAACAACTAAGCACAATAAGGTTCTTTCTATTGGCATCATTACTTTAATTTGCTACCACAGAAGTAGCAAGTTCATGACGAGGTCAACTATGAACACAAGAAAAATAGAAACAAAAGATCCAAATTAAGAACAAAATCTCTGAGAAAGTTACATGCTTGGAGGGCGCTGATGGTCAAGCTCATTATAAGGATCGATTACAAGTCCACGCACCCCATGCCTTAGCACAGCTATTTTTGCAAGGTCAAGAAGCCAAGTTATACTTGGAAGCGCATCACCTTCACACCTAGCATGACCAATAAGGAACACCAGCATCAAAACCGACGAGTAAAATAAATAATCTAAAAGTGCCCAAAATTTTTTTGAACAAATATGCTAATTAATCACTGCCAAGAACCTGCAACAGCCATCAAGAAAAAATATCCATTGTTTCTCAACAAATTCAAGGATAGAGACCAGACTAGAACACTCCTGACATAAGCACAAACAATTCATTTCCATGCAAACATTCTAAAGGCCCTGAAATCCACAAGAGATTAAGTAATTTATAGAATTCACGGTCAAGACTACAATTTCAGCAACACTATCAGTACATAAGATAAGGGAAAGAAGGGAAAAAAAAATACAAGCAGAGGAGATTCAGTTCCAACAACCAAAGACCAGCCAGATCAGTTGGTCAAAATGGCTGGATCCCTGATTCTGATTTCCACTTAGTTTTAACAAGATTCTATCTTTCCCTAGTTTCAAATATAAATAAATTACATTATGACCCATAACTTCCCTCAGTTCCTCAGGAAATGATGATTGTCTTCTTATCAATGCTAGTAAACAACAGTGGCTCAATTAGCCAGATATCAAATTATGAAATAAGTTGAGAGAGAGAGAGGGTATTTTTTCCTTTGGTTCTTTCTTTTTGTCTGTTTGCTTTTATGTTTTTGGGGCTGGGGGGGGGGGGGCGCGGGTTGCAACCAGGCCATCAATGGGCTCACCTTATGAGTTGAAAAGTATCACTTAACCAGCTCTTCCCCTGTTCTAACTCCTCCACACTCATACGTTCAACAGATTCGCCATAACTATCATCAGACAAAGGCCAGAAGATGGGTGATTATAAACATTCACAAAAGAATAATACTAAGTATTGCTGCTGTTGCAAGAGGATTAACAGATAACACTCACTAATTTGATCACCAAAGTATTAGCAAATAAATTTTGCAAAGATATGAATCTAAATTTAATCCTTGGCATCCTTGTCAATCAAATTCTAAATACAAAATTGACTAAAGAAGAAATATATTGTTGGAGCCCAAAATATTCAAATGACCCGCAGGGAAAAGAATTTTATGCATTTCAAGAATAGCCTATAGAGATTGTAAAGAAAGCATAATAGCAAAGTCATTGGCTTGGGTATTAGGTATCTAGGAAAGCCTTAGAAGTTAAGAAAAGTATTACTCTTACATCAATGGAAATAGTTGAGTTCAGGGGTCAATACAATGCATATCATAATTAAGTATTTCAAAAATATATTTCAATGATTTCATTCCTCATCTATCTAAATTTTATCATATTTTCTTCACATGATACGAGAGTCATTCAATCCAACTTGAACTCCATCTGCAAATACAAAATATAGATGCAATAGCCCATCTTTAACAAGGTATAAGAATCTTGATATCACATGCTCCTTTAGGTTTATAATATAGGGCATTTCTAGAAGCCTTATTTGGTTCAAAAACAGTAGTTCTGTGTGTGGTGTTTTTGAGAGAGGGAAATTGTATTTCTCATTCATCTACTTTCAAATGTACAGGCAGGTCCTATATATATACATCAAGAGAGATAAAACCCAATAAATACTAATAAAGCCTAATGAATAATGCTAATAAATGCTAATTATTAGCAATAATGACATAATATTCCCACACTCCCCCTCAAGTTAGATCATAGATGCTAATCATGTCCAACTTGCTTATACAACTCTCAAAGGGAGGCTTAGGTAGTCCCTTGGTCAGCACATCTGCAGCTTGTAGCTTTGTAGGTAGGTATATTTGACATACACTGCCTTCCTCTACTTTCTCTCTGATAAAATATCTATCCACTTTAACATGTTTAGATCTCTCATGTTGTATAGGATTCAATGCCATGCTTATGGCAGCCTTGTTATCACAATACAACTTCATTGGTAGATTAATTCTGACTTGTATTTCTTCCAAAACCCTTCTTATCCATAGTTCTTTTGTGATTCCTTGAGCTAATGCTCTCAATTCTAATTTAGCACTACTTCTGAATACGACTCTTTGCTTTTGACTTTTCCAAGTCACTAAGTTTCCCCACACAAACGAGTAATAGCCAAAGGAGGATCTCCTATCTCCATAGGTTCCCCCCAGTCTACATCTATTTAAATCTCAATTGTCCTCTGAACATGCTTCTTAAATAGCAATCCCTTACCAGGTGTACCTTTAAGGTATCTAAGAATCCTACATACAGCTTCCAGGTGTTTCTTTTTTGGATCACATATGTATTGACTTGCTACACTGACGGCAAAAGCAATATCTAGCTTTGTATAAGATAGATAAATCAGCTTCCCAACCAGTCTCTGATATCTGTCTTTATCAACAGTTTCTTATTTTTCCTTGTCTTCTTCTTCAACCTCATCATCAGAGTTGTCTTCTCCTTCTGACTTCTCCTTACTATTTTTCTTAGACTTTTTCTTTCTCGAGACCACAATAGGAGTTTCCTCAAGTTTACAACCTAATATGCTAATTTCCCTGAGAAGATCAAGTATATACTTCCTCTAAGATACATATATGCCTCGTTTAGACCCTGCAACTTCCATCTCGAGAAAATATTTCAAGTTCCCAAGATCCTTGACTTCAAATTCCTTACCAAGAACAGTCTTTATCCTTTCTATTTCCTCAACATGATCTCTTGCAAGAATTATATCATCTATATACACAATAAGGATGCACTTTTTGGCTCTCTCAGCCTTAAAAAAAAATCATATGACTTGATAATCCTTGTTTATAGCCTTCTGACTTCAAAACCTTTAAGAATCTATCAAACTATACTCTAGGTGACTGTTTCAAGCTATACATAGATTTCTTCAACAAGCAAACTTTGTCATTTTTGTCTCTATCAAACACCAGAGGTAGAGTCATGTAGACTTATTCCTTTAATTCTCCATTTAGAAAGGCATTCTCGATATCTAGTTAATGAAGTGGCCATTCAAGGAATGGTTGGGTGCTACTGATAATAGAATTCTGATAGTGTGTAGTTTTGCCACTGGCACAAACATCTCTTTGTAGTCTACACCATAAGTCCAGGTGAAACCCTTTGCTACTAATCATGCCTTTAACTTGGCAACTATGCTATCAACCTTTTACTTTGGAGTAAATATCCACTTGCAACTAACTAGTTTCTTACCTTTAGGTGTTTCAACAGTCTCCCATGTTCCATTTTTCTCCAAAGCTCTCATTTCTTCCATAACTACATTTCTCCATTCTGATATTCCTAGTGCCTCTTGGATGTAGTTAGGAATAACAACTTTATCCAAACTAGAGATGAAAGCCCAGTAACTAGGAGAGAGAGCCTTATAGGATACATACTTCTAAATCGGATGCAAAGTACAAGACTGAGGTTGTTTCTGGAGGGCAATAGGTAGATCATCAGATTCACTTCCTTGTTTTGAATCATCTGGCTCACCAGATGGATCAGTCCTTAGTACTTCAGCTTCAAGAACTACCCTTGGTTCTAACTCTCTTGGTGCCTTAGGTACTAGTTGCTCACTATCTTTTGATTTCTTCTTTCAAGTGTAAACCAACAACTCTCCCTTTTGTGGTCTTTCTACATCTCCCTCTATTTTTTGTTTCTCCTCAAACTTTGGCATAAGAGAAGAGGTTGGTGAGGGTAAGGGTTTCAGTACAAGTGGCATAAGAGAAGAGGTTGGTGTGGGTGATGGTTCTGGTACAGGAGTTAATGGCTCAAGAAATACATATTATGTGTTAGCTTCTATGTTAGGTTCTAGTTCTCAAGTCTGAGATTCACCTATACTCCCCCTGAATTGAAGAATTAGAATAAAAAGGAGTTTCCTCATGAAAGGTAACATCAAGGTTTACAAGGGTGCGTTTAGAAACAAGATCAAAACATTTGTATCCTTTCTGAGTAGGAGAATAGCCAAGAAATATGTACTTGGTAGCTCAAGGTTCAAGTTTACTGCTTTGGTGGATATGAGCAAAGATTGTGCAACCAAATACACAAAGCAGAAGTTTGATTTCAATGTAAGATGTGGGAAAAACACTTTGCAATTTTTTGAGAGGGGTTTTAAAGGATAAGATTCGACACGGCATTCAGTTGATGAGATAGCTCATGATTAAAATGGCATCCCCCTAAAAAAACTTTGACACATTGCAAGTGAACATGGGTGCTCTTGCAACTTCAAGGATATGTCTATTTTTCCTTTCTACAATTCCATTTTGTTAGGGTGTATGGGCACAAGTACGTGTATGCACAATACCATGCATTTGGAGAAAATTACTCAAAGATTGGTTGAAGTACTCAATATCATTATTAGTATGTAAGACTTAGATGCTAATATTGAACTGGTTTTTGCTCATGGTGAAAAAACTCATGAATGTGGATATAGCCTCAGACTTATTTTTTAAAAGATACAACAACAACAACAACAACAAGCCTTTATCCCACTAGGTGGGGTCGGCTACATGGATTGCAAGACGCCATTGTGCTCTATCATTTATCAAGCTTTTAGAAATATTATTAATTAAGAGATCACATTCAACAACTTCCAAGAGTGTTCTCTTAGGCCTTCCTCTACCTCTCTTAATCGGACTCAAAGTTATATGTTCCACTCTTCTCACTGGTGCCTCCCTTGGTCTTCTTTGTACATGCCCAAACCATCTCAACCGATTTTCTACCATTTTTTCCTCAATAGGTGCCACCCTCACTTTTTCGCGTATGTGCTCATTTCGAATTTTATCTTTACGTGTATGTCCGCACATCCATCGTAACATTCTCATCTCTGCTACTCCAACTTTATGCTCTTGCTGTCCCGTTAGAGCCCAGCATTCACTACTATATAACATTGCCGGTCTGATAGCAGTACGATAAAACTTTCCTTTAAGTTTATTAGGCACCTTACGGTCACAAATAACTCCTTTAGCTTTTCTCCAATTAAACCACCCAGCTTGAATTCTATGTGAAATATCTCCACTGATTTCGCCATCATTTTGAATAATGGCTCCCAAATATCTAAACTTTTCCACTTGAGGTATAATTTGATCTCCCAATTTCACTTCCAAATTATTTTCGAATAGTCCTTTACCAAATTTACAATATAAATATTCCGTCTTACTTCTACTCAGACGAAAACCTTTCGACTCCAATGTCCTCCTCCATAACTCAAGTTTGCAATTAACCTCTTCTCTTGTCTCTGCTATAAGAACTATATCATCCGCGAAGAGCATACATTTCGGGATTTCCTCTTGAATATGTTCCGTCAAAACATTTAAAATCAAGTTGAACAAATAAGGACTCAGAGATGATCCCTGATGTAGTCCAATCTTTATAGGAAAATCCTTTGTTTGACCACTAGGCGTTCTTATACTAGTTTTTACCCCCTCATACATATCTTGTATGGCTTTAATATAAGCAATCCGTACTCCCTTTTTTTCCAACGCTTTCCAAAGCACTTCTCTTGGTATACGGTCATAAGCTTTTTCCAAATCAATAAAAACCATGTGTAGATCTTTATCTTTACAACATACTTTTCCATTAATCCCCTTAGTAGATAAATCGCCTCTGTAGTTGATCTACCTGGCATAAAACCAAATTGATTCTCAGAAATACTTGTCTCCAATCTCAACCTGTGCTCAATTACTTTCTCCCACAATTTCATTGTGTGGCTCATGAGTTTAATCCCTCTATAGTTAGTACAATTCTGAATATCTCCTTTATTTTTATAAATAGGAATTAATGTACTTCTCCTCCACTCATCAGGCATTTTCTTGGACCGTAAAATCACATTAAATAACTTAGTTAACCATCTCACCCCTTCTTCACCTAA